CTTGTAAGAAAGATGGGGACAGGCTTTTTTAGTAAGGCCTGTTTTAGAGGCTAAGAAATCTTAGTGGCACAACTCATACAAAACCAGACTAGCCTTCCCTGCAATGCACCCCTCCAGCTCTGAAAGGTGAGTGTTTTGCTAGGACAGATGCAGACAGTGATACACAATAAGCCACGGCTATTGTTCAACTTCCTGCACAGAAAGGCACCATTAGGAATCCAGCAGTCACCCCGGTCACTCCCCTCTGCCATTCCAGCCAGAAGAAGTCTCCCCATGACCTACCTGTACTGTGTGCATGTTATTCGTGCTCTGGAGAAACTCGCCTTCCTCCCCAGCTCTAATGTCACCAGAGTCCTCCAGCAGGCGCACCCTCATGCCGTGCACCAGGTTTGCCCGCAAGTACTCCGTGTAGTCACCGCTGTCTGCGAAGTCTGATGCAGTCAGGAAGGTACAGCCCTGCTTTTTCTGAGGATCAGGATTTGAAGGCAACACAGGCTTTTGGACAGCAGCGCTGGCCGGGGTCTTGTGCTGGAAGATGGAGCGGGCAGGGCGAGGCCGCGGGGCCCGCTGGCGCAGCGGCTCTGCCTTGTGCCTGTGGCTCCAGCCCATCACGTGCACCAGCTCCGAGATGAGGTTTGCCATGGCCATGCTGAACTCAAACTCCTGCTTCACACGGCTCCTCTCCTCAGGGACGGGGCTGGGCACAGCGCAGCCCTGCTGCTCCTCTCCCTGCTCCACGCCACTGCTCAGCTTGTCCAGCAGAGAAGTCACGCACAGGTAGCGCTTCACCAGCACAAACAGCTGCTTCCCAGGGATCTGCAACAAGCACAGCTCTCACACTCAGCCTGCACAGCCCCCAGCTCTCTCTCAGCCACCAGCTCATTCCCAGGCCGGCTCCTGGGAGAGCTCCGGAGCAGCTGGCAGCAGCAGAGACCTCTCAGCCCACCCTCCCCTCCCTGCTGGCAGGCCGGGCTCTGCAGCTGCCTCTGCACCATCCCCAGCCCCTCACCAGGCCCAGGCCCTGAGCCAGCTCTGCCAACAGCCAGTCCTGCTCACCTGCCCACCTTCAAGCCCCTTCTTGTCCCAGACCAGCCCTGGCCCCCCACTCCCAGCCCTCCTGGCCCCTCGTGCCCCAGGGCTGTGGCTCTGGCACCACCTGCGGGAGGTGAATCCCCTCGAAGGACATGCAGTGCTCTGCAGAGGACGTGATCTCAGCAAACAGCTCCAGCAAGGTGCAGCGGCTGTCAAAGTCCATGTGCTGCTCAATGCCATCCTGCTGGCTCAGGGACAGCAGCACATGGCACCAGATTCCTGCAACAACAACAACAAAAACTCTTCAGGCCCCAGAAAGACAACCCTCACCCCACCTCCCTGTGACACACAGAGCTGCAGGGAAGGAACAGCTTTGCTGCTCAGTGTC